CCTTTTGCTGCAGCTGAGATAACGAAGGGTTAGCTTCCACAGTTGGGTCAAACCCATACTCTAACAGAACGAGGCTTACCTGCTTATCTAGTTCGGTCTCTTCTTCACGAGCCTTAGCCAAATTTGCTTGGTGGTCCTTTATAGCCTCGTCATTTTGGCTGCAAAGAAGTCGCAGAGCATCTCTCTCCCCCGAGACCTTCTGAAGCTCGACCTCACACTGGCTGAGGTCAACTCGAAATCTGCTAATGGCCTGCACAGTAGGGAAAAAAACACAAGTCAAGTTTAGAAAAGAACGAAGAAACTAAGCACAATAAAATCATTACCCGAGAAATGAAACGTTGGGCCTCTTCTAGGAGAAGAGAAGCGTCACTAATATCGGAGGCATCATCGACTCCAGTAAAGCAATCCCGAAAAGGGTCCCCTACACTAGAGCATCCGCCCATATAGGGGGTCTTCAATTCTCGAGCTTCCTTTAACGCCTCCTCAGAGAAGGTCGGAAGAGAAGGCAAATGACCCACTATCATAGTCCCAAGCGAATCGCTCGGAATGCTCTAATCGAGACTCGGGGTATCGGAACCGACCCCGACCAGTATAGCCGTGATCGGCTCAGAAGGTCTGGCGACCTCGATAGCTTTCGCAGATCGGATCACCAAAGCCGAGGTGATATCTTCTTCTTTTTCTCTCAGTCATTGGACCGAGTCCGTCGAAAGAGCGATTGCCTTCCTCCTCACCCTGCGAGTTTTGGGCTTGGGATCCTCTGACCGAGAGACAGCTTTTCGCTTCTTATCTTTCCCCGGTTCCGGGACCGGGGACTTGGTTCCTTCCTCACTACTCGAAGGCCTCAAAACGGCATCCTTGGTTACACCTGCACGAAAGGAAATCGGTAACGGATGGAGCATAAAAAATATTTCGAAGAACATGAGAAGTGACTCTTACCGTGATTCTTGGCCTCCCATCTACCTTTTGCCAAATCACGCCAAGCGCGTTCGGCATAAGAGGAAGTCGAGGCTAACTTCCGAACCCAATCCTCGAGGTCGGGTACCGCTTGTGGCATCCAAGGGGCACCTGTATATCGGAGAAAGATATCAGATAGAATCAGAAAAAGATACGAAAAGCAACGCCTTATGAAAACCACTTACGGTCGAAATTTCATTCCTCGAGGAACGGCATCTTCTCTTCCGGAATGAGGTCACGGGTCCTTACCCGAATATAACGGCCCATCCAACCCTGATCCTTGTCTTCGTCGATGCTCGACATTAAAGCTTTCGATGCCCAACGATGAAGCCTGATTAGTCTTCGAAAGATTTGAGGCCGATACAATCGTATGAGGAAATTTGCAACACAACCTCGGGACCCCAATTGCAGTCTTTCCCCACAGCCTCGAGATGGCCCTCTGTTATCGAGCACATGTACATCGACACATGCTCACATCGACCCGGAACCGACGAAGGATTTTCAACCTTAAAATCGATCGTCAGAGTACACGGGCCAGGAACATACTCGTGGGGAGGCGGCTCTACCGGTGCCTTGTCGCCGGACGGCCGTGAAGAGGAAGCTTTCTCCTTCTGAGGTACGGTTTTTGAAGTTTTTGCCATTGATGTAAGAGAAAGAAAAGCAAAGGAAGATGAAAGGTTGATGGTGCCAAACGCTGATGAAGGTGGCTCTACAAGCGGCAAAATAGAGGCAGAAAGAGTAAGAAAATTTGGAAGATTGAAGATGTAAAAGTGGTAAATGATAAATGGAAGGGCTATTTATAGGTTTATTCCGTGGCAGTTCAGTGTCAGCGGTGGCCGACCACCGTCTGACGCGCATTAAATACCTTGAAAGACTAAATCGACGGGACAGTTGCCACATACGTCACGATCGAGCCCAGTGAAAACGTCATCCGATCGAGCCGTCGAAAATCATGTCGTTTCTCATCACATTCTTCTTGAGAAACGTGGGGACTATCTGTATACGGTCGAAATAGGTTTCGACTTCCGTACGATTGATCGAGTCGAATGGTAAGCGATCGAAGTGTGAGCTCGAGACGAGTTCCGAGGATAGTACAAACAAACCTCGAGCCCCAAGACCGATAGAAGAATCGGCTCGGTATCATTATCAAGCCCATGGCCAAATCGAACCGCAAGGCAAAGAGAAGGTTGTCGGAGATGCACAGACCGATCGACACTCATCCCGAATGTCGAACTCGAACTCAAGACCAAGGGCTCGACCCAATACCGAGCTCAAACCAGTATCGAGCTCGCAGACAGGAGTCGTTGCAACCGCACTAGGGGAGAGAATCTTGGCAGGAATCGAGGAAGAGACAATTCATCATGGGTTCTCCACTATATATTTTTTATTATAAATAAAGTAAGACCCCTCTACTATAAAGGGGAATCCTTGTAAGCACAAGCAGGTTGACACGTTGTAAGACAAGACTACTCATATTTATTGAAGGATAAATCTCTTAAGTTTGTTTTACTCAGCATACTCACTCTTCTAGTTCAATAATTTATATCCCATTTCTGTAGCCAAGAATCTAAATATTTCCATTTCTACGTACGATTTATGTCAAGCTATATCACATATCCTTAGAACTACTTATAAATTCAACTATATCCGATTTTTCGGGTAAACAAGAATAGTTCCCATTTTCTAAAGCTGAAATGCTATAAAAGCATAGAGAGGTAAACTAATGAAATTAAGGCTAAATTGCAAAATACTTTGCATCTTAGTAAAGAAGTGTAAAAATTACTGATGTGTCGAATCTAAAATCTTGGGCACACATCCCAAGTATGCAGATAATAATTGGAAAATGAAAATTGAGGGAAAGCAAGAAATACCCAGTACCAACAGGACCACCAATTCCAATAGTAAAAGCTCTTTCATTGAAGTTCCTGTTAATAAGTGGAGGTGCTCTTCTGGTAAAGTAGCCAGGTGAGTATATTGGTTCATGAGAGTGAGGAGCCAGCCCATCATGGCTATGGTATACCTTCCCATCTGCTCCTACCCATGATGTTGTCTTTGCATCCCTGATGATAAATTAAGACAATTTTATTTAGTAAAGAATCAACCCAAGAGAAAATATTAAACATCAAGTTTGTCAATTTGCTGCTGAGATATCTTAAGGGAAAATACTCATGGCTATGGTCATGATGATGATGATCTTGAGAAGCCATTTGAGACAAGTTTGAGAGATGGTGGGCTGGGAGCAGTAAAGGGATGAGATTACAATCAACCCTTGGCAAGAATATTCCTTAAAATTAAAAATATCCGCCGGAATCTCTTTATCAAGGAAAAGTTTGGAGATAAGTCCCTTCAATATGGTACTAATTGTTTAACCTTGTCCTTCCAATATAATTATGAACAAAAATAGTCCTTCATTTTAATAAGAAGTGGACAGTTTTCAAGGGAAGAGCACATCATTAACTTGAGGAACAACCGTTGATATTAATGAATGTGGGACAGGAATGAAAGTGTTCAATATTTTAAAAATAAAGTGAATACTTTGTTACAGTTAATATATGAAGTACAAAAATAAACTTAGTCTTATGGGTAAGGGGCCGTTTGTTTTTTGTTCTTGAAATGTTTATTCACACAAACTATTTACGTCAAGACAAGTTGTGTGTGATCATGTGCGGATCCACCTTGTGAATTACGGGTTTACGTGAATATAATAGTTTTTGTTCAAATAGTATAAATGTGTTCGAAAAATTTATTAAATATTTATACATATTTGAATGTGAACTCAGTTACTATTGAAAATTTATTCGAAGTTGTTGCATGAATCCATAAATATTAAATCCCGGATCCGCTTCTATGTGTGATTTATATAAATTGTACTCCCGTTCACTTTTACCTAAGGAAAAACCTCTTACTAGATAGTTGTTCGCTACGGCCTTTAAGTCTCGCCTAGTCTCTCCCGCCGTTCTCCAGGAAACTAACGGGTCCACTATGTACTTTGCACACCTTTTAAAAAATAATAAATGAAGTGCATAATTTATCATGATACACATATTAATCGATGCATATTTTTAATGGATTTGAGAAAATAATTTAAAATGAGTAATTAATATTGTGAGTATAACAGGAAAAAAAGAAATTATTTTTTCTTAATATACTAAAAGTGACAAATAAAAGTGAAATTTATTTTTGGAATACTGGACAAGTAAGGAGAGAGTATCACTTAATTAATATAATAAATAGTTTGATTGGTGTAAATAACAACTGTGATACTTTATTTACCAAAATATGTTGTTTAAACACATATTTAACAGTGTCTAGGAAAAGGTGATTAAGAACATAAACCAAAAAACAACACGTTAATAAGATTCATAAATTTACTCCCCTGAGGGAAAGTGATCACCTATACACACCCCTCTTTCAGCTTATAGTATTACTTTTCCTATTTTTGGGTAAATGACTTGGTGTAATGTAGGAACGATAATCTAGCAAATAATAGCTGCCTCAAAAGATTTAAGAGTGAAATTCTTACCCAAGTCAAATGCATAAATAGTAAAATAGCCTCTTAAACTTTTTGTACCACACTTATGCTTTCGTGAAACTCCTTGATATTTTAATTTATTAATACTCTTCCATAACATAATGCTAAAAAGTTATGTTACTGGATCACATTGTCTCTTATCACGATATCTTCAAAAAAAAAAAATAATAATAATAATAATAATAATAATAATAATAAATATTTATACCATCAACAGTCAACACAGTAAAAACGTGAGAAATACTCTTTATCTATTTACAAAAATAATTCACTCCCTTACCATCATATTACTACCTAATCACTCTTGAGAAATCTAAAAACCATACTTTATGTTTGGGGAAGGAGGAACAAGGGGTGGTTTGAATCACTATATAAACTTCCTCCTATGTAATGATGCATTCACATAATTGGTGTCCTCAAATAACAATACACCAAAATCTATTATCTATGAAGTGCAAACAAGAAAAAGAAAAAAAGAAAAAAAAGTGGAGGAATAGGAATTACAGTTTCCTAAAAACATGAAATATTCAAGTTTGTTGAAATAATTTATTGAGGACATTGTTCCTAGAAAAGTAAGTTCCAAGGGCATTGCTTTTCCTTCCTGATTCAGTTCTCGTTATCATCTTTTGGCCATCACTCCGAGGAACAACTATTTCCACTTGGGGTGTCATAGTTTCGACGTCATTTCCAAGAATGACTCCTTGCTTTTGTATGTATTCCCATTTGTCTTGGAAAAGATAGAAAAATCCCATGAATGAGATTTGTGCTGTAAAAATTATTGTCCAAAGGCCTATTGGCTTAGATGTTCTTTCATGGTAGGCTGATAAGCCTGTGTAGGTGTTGATAATTCCGACCAAGCATATCGTTGTTCCAAGTAGCCAATGGAAAAAGAACCATATACTTCTTCCTTTACTTCCCCTGCAGTCCAAAACAGTTCATAGTAAGTCCAGAATGAGTAAGATTTTAACATATGTAGACATGCTAAATGTGTTTTGGTATATGTATATATAATTCTGCGTTGAATGCAATAATTCCATCTGAACCACTAAACCAGCCTCTATGTCGACATACTCATGTTGTCATTATATTTGTTCCGTATAGGTATAAAGGTCAAAGGATATAACTTAACAGTCAATAACATATTATATAGGTTGAAAATCATGCAAAATCGGGGCTCAAATTCCAATATAAACAAAAAACCTTTCATGATCTTTTTCTGTCGCCATAAATTTTGATTAGAATTATATATATGATTATGTCAGTGAGAAATAGCATGTACCTAATAGAATAATTAATAAGCGTAAAAATTAACGCAAATATTACCATTGTAAAAAAATATAGCTAAAAAGGACAAAACGTACAACAAGACACTTTAGGAAATGGAATCATTTTTTCCTTTGAAAGCAAAGGTACTATTTTTCCTACGTAGTATATTTGATAATTAGTCCTAATTCTTCAAGGTCTACTGGTTGTGCAAAAATTAAGAAATGTTACCTCTTAGGCCGGCGAAATCCCATAAGAAATTGGACATAGATGGCAATATAAAGGGCTAAACCTATTCTTTGGTGATTGTTGTTGAACAAATTCTCAAAGCTCTTGATTGATAGCACTGCTCCAGCAGTAGCCAGTAGCACTGATAGCACCTTTTCAATAAAAGAGAAAAAAAAAATGGCATTTCAATTATTGCAGCTAGAAATAAAATAGATACTATAACTTTTTAATTGTCTATTATTTAAACAAATTGTGAACTATGAAGATTGGCACTGGAATTCTCTGTGCTTGCCACACATAATTAGGGCTGCTTATCGGGCGGATTGGGCGGTTAATTACTCTTAACGGTTTGACTTAACGGCTATCGGTTTTTAAATGTATTAATCCGCTAGCCACCCGATAAGATATCGGGCGGATTGGTATCGGTTTAGCTCTTATCGGGCGGTTTATCGGCCTAATTCAATTTATATTGCGTGCGTTAATTGTTTGTTGACCGCCTAGCATACAAATTCAGTATAGGAAATTACACATTGAGTCCAGACATACATGTCTGTTAACGCCTACATAAGAATGATGTAGTGTGTGATGTGGTGTAGAGTGAAAAAACAGAACACATTGTAGTCTACATTACATCCCAAAGCAGACTATGATATGATGTAATTAAGGAAAAAGTAGTTCTAATGGATATGCCACTGTAACTCTTGCTAGTTATAACATGGATCATACAAGGATATCAAATTTCATTGAGATAACTATGTGATTGCCTGGGTTTAGATGCAAAGGAACAATTTCAGTAGTTTAGCTCATTAAATATAATGGTATCTAAGCTTTTATTAATATATTCATAGCACAAACGAAGCAAAATTATAATAAATGTGCGGTCCTTCCCTTTGTTTCTTGTTCATTTCTCTTAGAAAGGTAACAACATATTAATAATTAACACAAAGGCTGTGCTGGAGCCATATTTACAATTTTAAAAAGCAAAAATATGAGCTTGCTCTTCATACTAGGGCACTAAGATAGAGTGCTGGAAGTCGACGAGATAGAGTATTGGGGGTGGCTGCTGGAGTGCTAGTTGAATTTCTACTGAAGCTGGTTAAATTATGGTCGAGTAAAGAGAACTATAATTCTGCTGGTGGCTGCTGGCTGGAGTTTAGGCATTAGGGTTCTGATTATTTAGGAATTAAGCGTTAGAACTTAGAGATAGAGTATTGGAAGAAGTGGAAGGGTTTTTGATATTTAATATATATANTCGGTTTCGGTTCGGTTTTTAACACCCCTACGCATAATGGCCATAATCATAGTCAAATCCGTTTTAGTTATACTCGCACCAAACTGTGGGCTCACATAAATAAATTTTGAACTTTATAACCCTTACCATGATTAAAGTGCACATATGATAATTACGTAGCAGAACAAAGTAAAGATCAATTTATGATTATTACTTGTCATGGCTCAAAAAAGATGTTCTTCTTTTGCTTTAATTTCAACAATCTCAATTTATTGTCCCCTAATATCCGAATCCTTTCTTTAAAAAAAATCTAAGAATTAGAATTAAGAGTGAAATATTATATACCTGAAGAATTCCATGAACATAGAAGAGAACTCTGAGTCTTGTTGGGCTACACTCTTCTGTGTTGGACAGTCTTATTGTGAGTATTCCAGCAGGCATCAAGAATCCCATTGAAGCCCATAACAACAATCCATGAATTTCAATCTCAAATATCCTATGAGAACTCACCTGCAACAATTTACATTACTTGTCAAATTATCATTCCTTGTTTAGAAAAAGCAGAAAAGAAGATAAAAAAAATAGGGAAAGTAAAAGATTTTCCTATGTCCCCTATTTGGTTTCTCAACTTATCATAAACCAAACAAGTGAAAGGAAAACTTGCTCACTTTCTATTCCTTTTCCCTCTCTTCCTCTCTCTCTCTAAACAATGAACAAAACGCACTCAGAGGCTGATGCAATGTAATTTCCAACTAGTTCAACTGAAATCGGTGCGCTTTATACAAAGTACAAATATATATGTGAAAATTTCCTAAAAATTAAAATATATATTACTTAAGTTTTGAACCCATAATTGCGACAGGACAGCACAATGAATTCAATCGTGAGAAAATGCAATGAATTCAATCGTGAGAATATGAATATTAAACTCAGTACCATTTAAATCATAAATCCGCCTGAGTACCATTTAGTATTTTGGGGGGTTATTGTTGATCATACCTTGTGAACATGCTGGTTGATGCTTATTAACTGGCTGTTGAGTTGAATCTCTTCATTGGATAAACAAGCAATGAAATGGGGAAGTACAATAAAAGCAAAGACAG